TTCTTCTTTCTTTCTTTCTTTCTTTCTTTCTTTCTTTCTTTCTTTCTTTCTTTCTTTCTTTCTTTCTTTCTTTCTTTTTCTTTTTAGAGATATTTTTACTGGAGCGAGAAAGACAGAGAGACAGAAAGCAAGAAATCACCCCCCAGGAGGGATGGCCATGCTGGAATCCCTTCTCCTCCATTCTTCTCTTGGGAATTTGTGCACACACGCACACGCACCCTGCGTGAATTTTAAGCCACCGGGTCCGGGACTTGAACCCCGGTTGAATATGTGGGAGTCCAGTAATATAACCATTATGCCATCTGCTGGTCCCACCGATGTGTGATTTCTCACCCAGTGTATTCCTTGTGTGTCCCACGTGTTTCCTCTACATAACTGACATTAGCATTTACGTGCAGGAGACCCTGGCCCTGCATTCCCATCCCTTGCTCTATTTTCAGCCTGTCCTCTGTACGTTTCTTGACTCTGCTGCTGAGGTATGTGCTGGCTCTGATTAAATTCTTATACCTGCACGACCTTGAGACCCTCACTCTAGCTCTATTTCATCAGCTGTAGAAGAAGCACAGTAATAGGACCTGCTTCTTCTGCCCATGCTGAGGAAACAGGAGAGGCTCCTGGCACCAGGGCCCATGGATTCAAGGGACACAGTCGATGTTTGTTGTCCTCTGTCCCATTTGACCCAGTTACTTTAACCCCGTGCTTTACCTCACTTCCCTGGGAAGGACCTGAGCCTCCTACATTTACACTGACATCGGAAGCCCACCCTTGCTGCCCTCGGACCAGAGTGGTCATCTTTCCTCTTTCAGAGCTCTGCTGTTAGACCACATTGGAGCAGTGAGAACGGGTATTAGATTATCACTGGAGAATCAGGGAAGTGGGCCACAGGAATCCCGTGATATACCTTAGCAGAGCCAGGATGGAAATCGGACTCGCCACATCCACTGATCCCCAGGACCCTGCGGGTTTAGTTTCTTCAATAGTATCATTATGAATCCTTTCTTTTTTTAATCTTTAAAAAAAGAAAAAAAAAGAAAGAAAAAAAGAAAAACAAACAAAAAAAACATAAGGCGTGTGCACTTGCCAGAGAGAGACAGGGGAAAGTGAGAAATCATCCCCTCTCTCCCCCAAGGGGGATGGCCACACTGCAATCCCTTCTCCTGTATTCTCTTCCTGGAATTTTGGGCACACACATACATAACCAGCATGATTTTCAATCCACCAGGCTTGGGACTTGAACTGTAGTCAGCCACGTGGAAGTCCAGTGCCTTACTCACTACACCACTTCTGGCCCCTATGCATCCTTCTTATCAGCACTTTTCCACCTTTGCCCCAAGCTTAACTTTTGATTCATGTTCTTCCTCTTTAATGCATGTCCTTTCTTTACTTCTTTGCTTTCCTTGTTTTCTTCTTCTTTTTCTTCTTCTTCTTCCTCTTCTTCTTCCTCTTCCTCCTCCTCCCCCTCCTCCTCCTTCTTCTTCTTCTTTTTCTCCTTCTTCTTCTGATGGGCCTGTTTGTCATCTTCTACTTTTTCTTATAGGCTCCCGTTTTCTATATTCCAAACCCTACCCTTTAAAACCCGAAGCTCTTTCTAGCTCTATCAGCTGTCGTACACTCACACTTGGGACTGTATTTCTCTGCATCCTTATTACGAACCCTTGAAAGTTAGGTGTCTGCTGTATTTGGTACCATTAGAAATTGCCCCTCTTACTGATATCCGTAGTTCGTTCCTGTTCATTGATATCCTTCTATCTGGGCCCCCCATTCTTTGCAACTTACTGTAAATCTCCAAGTAGTAAAAAAAGAGGATTTTGAATGTTCTCGGCACATGTAATGACACATGGTTGAGATGAGGGGTACACGAATCACCCTGACTTAATCATTACCCATTGTGGTCTTATACTGAAAAATCACAATGTACCCCACAGATACATGTCATTTTATATATATATATATATATATATATTACATCAGTTATTTAATTACGTAATTCAGTTATTTAAATTATATAAAATGTATAGATTCATTTTAACAAAGCGAGGGGTCCTGTGGCATTGCGAAGCTCTGTAAACTGCAGCAGCTGCCTCTCAGCCACAGCTCTGTGCCCTCATCTTCCTTGCCCCTCGCCTGGACACCCTGCAATTCTTACTGGGTCTTGAACCTTGAGCGTGCCAGCCAAATTCTGCCTTTCTGACATGACTATGTCCTGTGCTTCTTTCAGGACCGGGACTACTTTTCCCACAGTGCTTGTCATACTGTCTGTGTTATTTCTGGATGAGGGGCTTCTTCGACCTTCCAGGACAGAATGGATGTCTTTTTTGCATCTGAACTTCAAAGCTTTGGATTGGCAAGCCCCTCTTGCTGTTTTCCATGAACACCCCCTGTCTCCCTGCTCACAGTGGAGCCTCAGTAACAGGGGTGTGTGTGTGGGGGTAATTTGTCCACAGGGGGTGTGACACATCAGTGTTGGGGCGAGCGTGAAGGATGGCCTGCCTGAATGTGGTCCCCCGCAGACTGAAACGCAGCTGAGTAAACTGCCTTTAGCTGCACCTACTGTTTCTACTTGGAAAAGATGACAATAGAGTCCCCTTCTTGCGCCGAGCAGCCACGTAAGCAGGAAAAACAGTTTGCTCCCTCTCTGAGAAATCTGAAATTTCTAGCATGGATGTTCCAGCAGCCTGACAAGTATGGGATGAAATAGAAATGAATTTCATTCATTTGTGGGATCAGCAGTTGGCGTAATGGCTATGTCACTGGACTCCCATGTAGTCAATGGTGGGTTGGGGCCTGGACCCGATGGCTTAAACTCATGCCGGGTGCATGTGCGTGCATGGCCAAGATCCCGAGAGGAGAAGGGATTGCAGTGTGGCCATCACCCCAGGGGTGATTTCTCGCTTTCTGTCTCTCTGTCTCTGACTGGCAAGTGTACACACCCTATAGCAAAAACCTTTCAAAAAAAAAATTTGATGATTATTCAGAAATGTGATGTAGGTCCTGGTTTCTCCTTGTTTCACAGGCCCTAATGTGAAGAGTTCTAGGTCCTAATTTAAAAACAAACAAAAAAAAAAGAACAAAGCCTAAGTTGGCAAATATTTGCATGGATCCTGACTGTAATCTTTTTTATTTTCGAAGTTGCTTTCTTTCTTCATGAGTGAGAGACACAGAGATAAAGAGAGGCAGAGACAGTACCTCTAATAGGGTCCTGAAGCCATAAGCAATCCCCTAGCTTCATCCAGTCTTGGGCCATGGGCATGTGTGTGCCAGCATGCTCAGGGACGTCTCCAGATTCGAACCAGAAACCTCAGAGAGTGCCATGGCTCACTGTGCCACAGCCCAGCCCCCAGAATCTTTTCTTAAATCTACTCTCATTGCCTCCTACTTTCTCATTTTTGAATTCATTAGCCATAAGGTCAGCTATTAACTAATAAATAGTATCATCAATACATCAAAGGATACAATGATATTCATTTAAAATTAAAATGAAATATGATTTTTTGGACCAGCAGTTAGCGTAATGGCTATGTTGTTGAACTCCCACGTGGTCGACCGCGGTTCAAGTCCTGGACCTGATGGCTTAAACTCATGCTGGGCACATGTGCGTGCATGCCCAAGATCCTGAGAGGAGAATGGAGGAGAAGGGATTGTGGCGTGACCATCCCCCCTGGGGGATGATTTCTCACTTTCTGTCTCTCTGTCTCTCTCTCTCTTTCTGGAGAGCACACGTGCCCTGTAGCTAAATAAATAAATAAATATGATTTATTCGTAACTCACTCTTATTCCAAAGAAGATTCCGCATGAACAGCCATAGTAAGACTTCTGGTGAAGTGGAGGGACCCTCCTGTGTCAGGAGACAGTTGATGTCCATGAGCCACACTGTCACATGTGCACGTCTTTTCATTGTATCACACCTGAGTCCTCTGTGGCCTTGAGTCGGTCACGGCTATGGCAGGTCACCGTGCATGGTGCTTTATGGGAGGATGTGGTCCAGCTCTGGCATTTTCTAATGCCGAGACAGGACAGAGTAGAAGGAGCTGCAGGGCAGTGCTCCATTCACTGTGCCATGTTTCTTTTCTTTCAGAGACTCGGACCTGTTTTTGTTGGATACCCGTGTGGTGTGGGCCTCGGAAGAAGGCTGGCTGGAGTTTGACATTACGGCCACCAGCAATCTGTGGGTGGTGACCCCGCAGCATAACATGGGGCTTCAGCTGAGCGTGGTGACGCGCGATGGTAAGTCACCATGCACACGCCACCCTACTCCGGCCAGCAGTCATTTCTGCTCACTCCTCTCCAGCCATGTTGGTATAGCCCATGGTTCATGGTCAAGTTGCAGACTTCAGGACCACCTAATTTACTGTTCCCTTGCGGCAGCTATTTAAGTCCAAAATCCCGAGATCTCCTGGAAAGGATTTGGAAATAGGTTTGTGCACCATCTCCAAGAGCGTGGTCAAGTGTCGAGAAATGACAGTGGGAAGACGGCTGTCATAGGCAGTATAGGGGGGAGGATGGAGAGAGAGAGAGAGAGAGGCGGGGGGGGCCATTAAACCACCGGTGAGGGGGTTTTCCGC